TGAGCCCGCGCCGCTGAGAGACAACCAAGTCTTGCCTCACGCTGGCGAGCCCTTGTTTCACAGATCTGTATACCGTATGCATAAATTTGCACGTGGGTCTTGCGCTCCAAAAGAGCCCAAAACCTCTAGCGGTCTTGGGCTTTCTTGGAGCGCTCTCGGGCCATCTTGGCGCCCTCTTGGACGTGTCTCGGGCCCTCTCGTCGCCCCCTTCCCCTCCTTCGACGCGTTCTGGCACCCCCTGCTTGGCCAAAACGGCCGGAAGAGAAATCAGTGCACTCTGGGGCTCCCGGAACCCCCTCCCAGTTATATATATATATATATATATATATATATATATAGATATACACACATGTGTGGTACTTCTGTGTGTACATATGTATATACTAGAACCACGCGCGCGCTGAGCGCGCGCTTAGGGTCTCATCAACATCGGGGGCCACATCCTCATTCACCTCATCATAAACTCCTCATCCACTCCCCTGGCGGGCACGCAAACCGTCACCGTCGCGCCGCCAGCACGAAACCGCAGGATGAGCAATCCCAGGGGGGCTTCGCTCCGCACCGCGCACCGCCGACTTGTACGGATAGAAAGAAAGAGGGAGAGAAAGAGAGAGAGAGGGAGGGAGAGAGAGAAAGAGAGAGAAAGAGAAGAACAATGAAGGGAGAACCTTGAGGAGGAACATGTTGATCAGTTCATGGCGCCAGCAACGAAAACATGGCGAGTTGTGCGCCGCATCTGCTAGCTCATTGGCTGGGTGTGCAACGAGAACAAATCTTGTATGGCATTGCGTAGAAGTGCGCGATCAGCGACAACATCAGGATATCCTGGGCCATGCTGACATGCTGGCCTGGTAAATAGTTCATTGGCGCCGGCGTCCTTCCCAGGGAAGGGGCCTAGTCGCACACCAAATCACGACATCGGAGACCCTGGCTAGTCCAATGCCCTGCAGTTGATTAACAAAAATGTTCCCATTGCTCCCCTGTCCATCCACTATCCGCCCCCGTTTCCCAAAACTCAGGAACAGCGTTTTCGCCAGACATTCCCCCGAAACCCATCGAATTTGGTGACTGCCCAGCTACGACGACAACGGCTCCTGCTCGATACTTCCTGTAAACTTACCCCCGAAGCGCCCCACCAGCCCCGAAAGGGGCACAGAGCGTGCAAGAAGTCTCCGAGAGCAAGCCTCCGTCCGTCACGTCCCCCGAGGGTCCCACCGCGCCCCCTCCCCGACTACCCGTCCCACAGGGCCTCCTGGCCTTCTTCTGGGAGAATTCATCGGGAATCGATCCTATGAGTACCTCCCAGACGGGACCGCTGGTGTGGGAGTTGTCCAGCTCGTGGAACGGGTCGTCGTACGTTGTTTCGTGGGGAGCGATTAGGGCCTCTCTTCCTCGCGTACTGGGGATCAGGATGAAGTGAGGTGCTCATAAAAAGAAGCTCCCTCAAATCACAACTCGCGCGGCTCACAGCGCACGCGACTCGCCAAAGCTCGGGGGACAGGGTCGCCATCCAGCCTCGCTGGATCAGAAACTGGGGAGCGAAACGATACCGATGCTGCCGCTCCACAGAAATCGCCCGGGGTGCACTCTGACCAGGGACCAGATGGGCGAGCCCAGGCGTGGCGTCGAGGGCCCCCCCAAGAAGGCCCAAAAAAGGCGCGAAGGGGAAAGGGCATGGGAGGCCTCCCGCACGGGCTCCGAGTAATCGCCGATGCATCGGCGATGTGCGGCACGATCCTCCGACCTCATCTGTTCTGACCCAATGAGGCAGGCCTAGAGCATTGGCATCGGTGTGCCTTGCCTCCAACCTTACAATCGGCCCCCGGACGCAAGGTCCATCCCAGCCAGTTTTCCGAGCCGTGTCAAAGCCGAGGCGACGAGAGCCTCTAGAAGCTGCCTAAACCCTCCGAAACGAAAACGCTGCTGTCGTCGTTCCTGGTTCCGCGCACTGAGATCGAGGGATGAGCAGCTGCAACGTGTGCATGAACGAGAAGTCGCCGCGCCGCTTGTTCTGAACGCGCCCCAGTGGACGACGCCGACACCACGGCAAACCCACGGCAAAGCCTGCGACCCGCGCCCAATTAGACGACGCCGGCACTGTGGTACACCCCATGGCAAGCCCTGCGCTTGGGGCGGCGTTTGCCCTTATGGCCGAGGCGCCCTCTCCAGGACTTAAGGCCGCGCGTCGGAACAAACGGCGCGGTGACTTGCTGTAAGAGATCTAAGGCACGCCCTTCGTCGATTCTGAGCTTCGTAAGGTGCCCCGGGGCTGTGCGGCCCGTTGGGAGAGAAGACATCTTATCCTGGGGCACCCGTTGGGAGGACAGTTCCTTGCCTGGTGTGCCTGCTGTATCGACGCCGCACCCCGCCCTCCCGAGAGTTGGCGCCGCAGCGCAGGGGCAGGGCCAGACCCCGTCGCCAGTGCGCGGGGCCGAGCAGGGGCCGCCCGTTGCGCTCCAGGGCTCCCTGTGGGCGCCAGGGCTCTCGCCCGGTTGCTTGGCCTCGCGCTCTCATGGACGTGCCGTCGTCCGGCGACGCGTCTGGCCTTCAAGACTACCCGGGACCTACCCGACCCCTTCTCCACGCAAGTCGACGACTTGAAAGGAACGCTCCGTACAAAATATTACGTTGCAAGGACACTCTGTTCCGCTGGACCTCCCAAGAGCCCACGGGAGTGGCAACAGTTGCGCACTGCGCAACCACCCAGGGAGCCGCGCGGTCTCGGCTCGGTCTGCGTGCTCCCCCATTCCGCTGTGCCTCCCAGGAGGCCACAAACGTGGCGACAGTTGCGCAGTTCGCCTGGGGCCGCGAGGTCTCGGCTGGGTGCGCGGACTCCCCAACTACGCCGAGCCTCGCAGGAGCCCAAGACAGTGCAGACGGTTGCGCAGTTCGCAGCCTCCCATGGAGCTGCGAGGTCTCGGCTGGGTGTGCGTGCTCCCCCCACTCCGATGGGCCTCCCAGGAGCCCACGAAAGTGGCGACGGTTGCGCAGTTCGCAGCCACCCAGGGAGCAGCGCGGGAGGAGGCAGGAGGAGGGGGGAGGACAAGGAGGATGAGGACGAGGACGAGGACGAGGATGAGGATGAGGATGAGGATGAGGATGAGGATGAGGATGATGATGATGATGATGATGATGATGATGATGATGATGATGATGATGATGATGATGATGATGAATGATGTGATGATGATGATGATGATGATGATGATGCTGATGAGAGGAGGAGGAGGAGGAGGAGGAGGAGGAGAGGAGGAGAAGGAGGAGGAGGAGGAGGAGGGGAGGTCTCGGCTGGATGCGCGTAGAGGCGAGGAGGGAGTGGAGACGGGAAGAAGTGGAGAAATGGAGGAGGCAGGAGGAGGTGGGAGTTCTCGGCTGGAAGAGCGTACTCCCCTACTCCGCCGTGCCTCCCAGGAGCCTACGAAAGTTGCGACGGTTACGCAGTTCGCAGCCACCCAGGGCGGAAGGAGGCAAGAGGAGGCGGGAGGATATTGAAAAGGAGGAGTGGGTAAAACGAGAACCCAACACAGGAGGGTTGGGGAAGAAAGGGGGACGCCCCAAACGGCGATGTATACACATATGAAAAGGATCACCTGGGGGGTCCGCGTGCCCTGTGAGCGCGCCGGCGTCGGTGCCGAATTACACACGTGGGCAGCCGCGGACAGCTGCGAGATTGCAGGAAGCGAAATGCACTCCTGAACCTGGGCTGATCATCTAGGAGATGAGGTAGTCCTCCAGGATGACAGGAAGCGGGCAAGCGGATGGCGCGGCGACTCTACGGGGCACGCGGCGCCTCGATGGGGCGCGCCAGCGCGCGGCGCCTCAGGGGTGTCTTCCACGCGACGGACTCGACCTGCATCCCACGGAGTCTCTCTCGGCAAGACGGCGAATTCTGTCCAGCGCGCGGCCCGAGCATGTGCCCGTGCTGGAAAAGTAGGCAGAGCCTCCTCGACGCGACGCCGTGCGAGGATCTTGGACAACGCAATCGCTGGCAGAACGTGCGGTGGAAGGCCCGGCCCGTTCTTTGCGGTGGCGCTGCGCTGGATGCGCCGCCTCTGGGCCGCCTGCGCGAACACGCTCTCCTCGGCGACCGCCTCTGCGTCACTGTCGTCCGCCACGATACACCGCTCGGCGTGGGCGGGCGGCATGCACGTTGCCGGGGGCGACATGCGAGCTGCTGGGGTGCGAAGGCCGCATGCACTGCCTGGGCCAACGTGGCAACGGCACGCCCCTGCCATGACGGCATGGTATCTGGTCTCCGCACCCGCGTAGACCGGTCGATCTCGAGCTGTCCCCGCTGCTGGGGGACTGCCCAGCGGCTCTGGGGGCCTTCAGCCTCGAGTGCCCGTGCCCCTGCCGAGCGCGGACCTCCAGCCAGGGCAGGGATCGGTTCGGGGGGCGAAGACGGGCAGATTATCAGAAAGGTGGCGCGGACCGATGCAGAGCTCGAGCCTCGAGCTTCGAGCTGCTGAGGCAAGAGGTCGAACTGATGACCGTCGAGCTGCTCAAGGGGCGCTGTAAATTTCGGGGTTTTGAACCCCTCATCCATTCCGTGCAGATTATCGGCCAAATCTCGCCGGGGGCCGGCAGGAGAAGGAGGAGGAGAAGGAGTCAGCATGAAGGGGAAGGGTCCTGATGGAAAGAGGCCCGGGTCCTTCCACGGGACCGGTGTTTCATCCCCAATCGTTTTTGTTACGGCCCTACTTCCAAAACATGAGCACGCTGGATTTCTGTATCACTACGACGTGCAAGCCAAGAGGGCTTTCGATATGGAGATGAGAGGTTCGAATGGGGCCACGAAAATTCTACTGAAGGCGAGCGAAGGTATTCCTCAGCAGCGTGATCAAGCGCGCTACTTAGACAGACCAAAGACAAAAGGAAACCTTGGAAGGGCCCCGGAAGCCTGAAAACGGAAAACAAATACTCCAGGATCTCTTTACTCCAGGTCCCCTTCCCTCCGTGCTGAATGATGAGGCGCCGGTGCTCCCAATGCTCGACTGGGCCTTCTTGGCGCCATGGCGGCTGCCGAAAAGCGCAGCGCGCTGGTCGATGCGGTAGCGCTCGGCCATGCACGTCGGGGTGCTCCTGCGAGCGCGCTGGACATTCGATCGGCGGCTGCGGGCGTAAAACGGGCATCAATCGAACAAGCGGATCACGGCAGCATCAGCATAGAAACAACTAGAACAAACAGACAAACACGAACTTGGTCCATGATCGATGAGAGTGATGCGGGGGCGAGCGCGAATCTCTCTGAGCCCAATAACGAAATATAATCGCACCCACCAAACAACAGCCTGCAACAGCATTCGTCGTGATGAGTGCAATATGGAAGGAGGGAAGGGAGAGAATGGAGGAGAGAACAAGCAGGGAGAGAGATAACGTAGTAGATGATTGAGAAGGGAGAGAACAAACAGGATAACGCAGCGCGCGGCCAGGAGGGAGCGTAAACGCTTCAACGTACGAGGATTGGAACGGTTGTCAGCGTACGAAGACTGAAACGGGAGAGCAGAAGCAATACGTCTCAGAACGGATGATAGACATGGCGGATCCTGGGAACCCTGAATCCAACCTATCTGTCCCTTGTGAAGGCGAGGTCTTTTCTGGAACGCCGTACATGTTCTCAACGTTGGCAGGCTAACGTTGCTGGGCCATTCCCGCTCCAGACCTCTGTGCAATGTACGCCACACCTGGGGCGCGGGTGGCCTCACGCCTCGCCATCCTCCAAGTGCCCTCCCTATCAGGGCAACCTTAGGGTGGGAACCCAGCTCGGGGGGGGGGGGGAAACATCGAGCTGGAATCTCCGTCGGACCGGCGATAGGCCCCCGATAGCAAATCCGCACGATCCTGGGCGAGGTGTGCTGCCGTGTGCCTGTCAGCGATGAGTGGGCGATTCGGAGACTTGCATCCCCCTCGAGTCCGTCCTCCCCTAACGTTGCCCCTGGCGTCAGGGCCACAATTCGGCTCTGAAGCGGCCGTTGGGGACGATCTGGACAGCCCCTGGACGCCCCCCGGCGAAGCGCAGCTGCTGGAGAGCTATCCGAGGCTTGAAAGCCGACGAGAACCTAAGAAAACGTCCGATAACCTCGAACTTCGGAACCCCCTGTTTCCCCCCTCACGTTGCCCCTGACCCCACTTTCTTCTCGCGGCTGGCCTCTGGCAACTTCGGCCCCTCTCCTACGGGTTTCTGGGGATCTCCGCGGGGCTTATTGGGGGCATCTGGCCGGCCTCGGGGCGGACAAACGCTGCCGACCGAAAGTAAGAAGCCTGGGTCCTCCCTCTCCCTGTCCTGCTCTTCCTTTTTCTTCTCCCTGCTCTCACCTGCTCCTCCCTCCATCCCTCTTGTTACCGTCCGGCGAACGTCGGATTGACGCCATCTTGAGCCGTCGTGACCGTGACACTCCCTCCTTTGCTCCCTCCTCCTCCTGTTCCTTCTTCCGCCACGGCACAGTCAAAGGTCTGGATCCTCATCCTCTTCCTTCTCCTCCTCCTCCTCCTCCTCCTCCTCCTCCTCCTCCTCCTCCTCCCCACTCCTCCTCCTCCTCCTCCTCCTCCTCCTCCTCCTCCTCATTATTCGTCGTCCTCCTCCTCCTCCTCCTCCTCCTCCTCCTACTCCTCCTGCTCCCCCTTTTTTCGACCAAAGATCGGCCCCTATACCTCTGTAAGGGGTGCGCTCCGACCAGGAACTCAAGGGGAATCTAGCCGTGGCGGCGAGACGCCCCGCGGAGGCCCACCAAAGCTAACAAAAACGCGTCGTGATTGATTCATGACATGGCTCCACAGAGGTGTGGACCCCTCCTTCCCAGGGACGGGCTCCCCATCCCGGGCCGTCTTTTGACGATCCCGGGGAAGGGCACTCCGAGGCCGAAGATTGCTAAGAGCCCTTTCCGTCGCGGTTTGTTCGCGACGCGGGAGGGCCCATTTCTTACGGAGCTGCGGTTGGGGGAAAAGGAGGTTCTTGGGGGGGGGGGCTGCATCGTCTGGGCTCTTACTCACTTCCATCCATGTTCTCTGGGCACAGGCGTCACGGCAGGTCTCCCGTTCAAACAGATTGGTTCGCCCCCTCGCCCCTCCCTTTTGCCTTTCTTCCACCCACCCCCTGGCCGCCCCTTCACCTCTCCTGTCAACTCTTCTCCAGCTCTCCTCGGGGAGGGCAGGCGTGTACCATCCTTGTCTACGCCAGCGGCCTGCAGCTTACCCGGCACTCAAACTGAGGCATCCAATTGCCACCCCTTGCCTGCCTCCTGCGAGCCATCCTGACCAGAAGGTGGACCGAGCCAGCCTCCTTGCCTACTTTGCATTTTGATATCGCCGTGACTGGCTCGGCGATGAAGCTCTTGAGTTGTGAGTGGTAAAGGAAGAAAGCAAAGACGCGAGGATCGGAGCAAGGCGCGTTGAGACAACGGCAACTCAAACTCCATCCCGAGACCTCTTCCGGAGTCCAAGCGCACCAATTTCCCGAGCTGCGGCCCGACGGCAAACTACCGTTGCCTCAGGGTGGGCGGAAGCGTCCAGGAGAATTTCGCAACAAAAGAGAGAGGCAATGGGAGAGGGGTGCGCTGTAGTGTACGTGTTCGTTGATGTGCCCTGTGGTGTGCGCCCTGAACACTCTCACGCGTCGAACGCGCTCGCGAGCTCCAATCATAAGTTGCATGTGCCCACCCGGGCTGGCTGCGCTCCTCACCCACCCACAACCTGCCCCTGGGGCAGCGGCGCTGGGGCCGTATGGCCTACCGTCCAGCGCGTCTACAGACCGCCAAGTCGGACAGGAGCAATGTGGTGCAAGCTATGTCGTGCATACTATGTGGTACACGCTTGGTGGTGTAAGCTATGTGGTGCACGCTGTGTGGTGCAAGTTAGCCCACAACGATACCCAGGCCGCCTGGCCGGGCTCGGGCAACGCAGCCGGTCCGCCAGGGCGCGACACTGTCGTTTGGGCCACCCGCGAAAAGGTGGCGGGCCGACGCGGCCAACCCGCACAGGAATGTGAGTACGAGCAGCTCCCTCATCTCAATCCTGTGCCCCCTGTCAGACTGACATCTTTCGAATGGGACCTGTGTCTGTGCCCTAGAGTGAGCCCTCTTGATCGACTCCTGTGGAAACACGGCGTCCCGCCTGAAATCTACTTTGGGGCCAGAGGGTAGCGCGTGCCTTGGCACGGGCCTTAGGGCGGTTATGGCGACCTCCCGAGATCGTCATCCCTACGGCACCGCCTCGGCGTGAGCACAGGCCCACAACTGACCACCGCGCGCTGGCGGCGATTCGTGCGGTTTTCGCTGTGCGGCTTCTGCTGGTCCTACAGTGGTCGCCTGCCTCCATTTGGGGTGCGCAGCTGTGCGGGTATAAATGTTCGCAGACGACACCTGGGTGCAAGAACGGGGGTCTCTGTCGCGATCCTGGCTCCTGGCCGACCGCCCCTCGCCTCTGGGTCGCCATCTGTGTTGTTGAGCAGTCTGGTACTGCTTCCATTGCCGGGGGTCTCGTACCCTGAGGGAGTACTGCTCGCGGAGGGTCTTGTACCATCCCATCGCCAGCACGGGTAGTAGGGGCGGAGGTGTCGACCCCTCGCATTGAAAGCCACTCAAACAGTGCACGTGCGTGCATGTGTGGTGCGGCGAAGTCCCTCGTGCACACCACTTGAAGTTAGCACCTGACATTGTGCGACGTCGTGCATTGTGCCTTCAACAATGCTCGATCGCAATTCGCCCCTCCATCTGCTGCCCACGCTTGAGGACCCTCTGCGCCGTCGACTGGAAAAAATTGTGCGGCGGTGTGTCTTTTTGTGTCGGTGTGCGCGCGTGTGTGGGTGTACGTGTTTGGGGGGCGGGGGGGGCGCGTGTGCATTAGCAGGTGTGGGGGGCCATCGTGATGCCGAGTGTTTCCATGGGGACCGCCGGCTGTGCTCGGGGCTGCGGGGGGGGTGTTGGGAATCCGGATAAGAGAATATTATCCTGTCCTCCATGATCCACTCCCCCTCCCTCCTTCTCTCCCTTTCCCCCTTTCCCCCTCCACTTCGCTTCCCTTGGGCGGGTCGGCAGGGGGCGGCCGGGGGGCAGGGTGGGGCGAACCCTTCCCGATCTGGCCTTCTGGCCCCCCGCCCCGTTCGTAGGGACTGCGCCCGGGCTACCGGGGGGCCACCGTGTACGGCGAGCATACCCCCCGACTTCGACCTCGACTGCTGCCTCCGCTGGACCTCCTCCCAGACTTGGCACGGGCCGGCATCCTCTCACGCCGGGGCCTCGCTGGCGGGCGAGCCGCCCAGGAGCGGCATGGTGGCCGCGCGGCGGCCCGCCGCGGGGGCGGTCACCGCCCCGGGGGGGGGAGGCGGTGCGCAGCCCGCGGGCGCCGCGCGGGCTGGCTCTTGCAGCCTCCCCGGGGGTCCTGGGGACACCGCGGGGGCCAAGGACACCTTGGGCAACCACCGACCAGGGGATTGGCGTGGCGGCCCTCCGAGGCCTGCGGGAGGGCCTCTCAGACAGCAGGGGGCCTCCCAGAAGCTGGCCCGTCTTCTCGGGCGCCCTCTTGGCGGCCACCGGGCCCTTCTGAAAACTCCCCTGCGTTCCGAGAGGCCCAGAGATACGACGCCCTGATTTTTTCAATACGGGGGCCCCTGAATCTGAAGTCTCGATCCACTTCCTGGGACCAGCGATTCATCCTGAGTCATTCTTGTGCGGTCCTGGGGCCTGGCGAGAGCCCCTATGTTCCGAAAACGCCGGAAGACCTCCGTCTTTTTGCAAAGAGTAGTATTACTATTCGCGTTAGCATTCGTATTCTGATTCATCTGAATACTATTGTGTCTCAACGCGTTGGATATCTGGGAGCGCTGCGCCCGCCTCCTTAGAAAGCTTCCCCCCATCACGCCAGCCCCTTGTGCGCGTCGCCAAAGATGGGCAGATGCGGGTGGAACGGATCCACACGCCTGGAACCTCTAGAAAATCGGAGCGATCGCTAGCGATCGCTCTGTTAGTATGCGACCAATGTGACCTCTGCTCCTCTTCCTGCTCCTCCTCGCCTTCTTCTTCTTCTTCTTCTTCCTCCTCCTCCTCAACCTCATGTACAGCCTCATGATCATGAATACAATCCGCCAAACCTGTCGGCATGTGTGAGAAGCTTTGCCATTTGAGCCGTCGTCGTCGTCATCGCCGTTGCCGTCGTCGCCTCCGCCGCCGCCGCCGCCGCTGCCGTCGTCGTCGACGTCGTCGTCGTCGTAGTCATCGCCGTCATCGTCGTCGCCGTCGCCGCTCTTCCCCTTTCCCTGGGCCCTCCTCCTCAAGCGTTGCAGCCACAGAGAAATCGAGCATCGTCGACATCGAGTCGAAGGGAAGCCCCTTCCCTTTGATTCCTCCCCGGCCGGGGGGGTGTCAGGGAGGGAGAATGGTGGGGAGTCCAGGGGGGGTCCTGGGGGTGGTAACTCCCCCCCCCCTCAGAGGGAGCACCCCTCCCTGGAAGAAGCTTTCGGCACCAGAGCGTCAACGTCGCCGTCGTCATCACCGTCGCCGTCGTCGCCTCTGCCGCCGCCGCCGTTGTCGTCGTCCTCGTCCTCGTCGTCGTCGTCCTCGTCGTCGTCGTCGTCGTCGTCGTCGTCGACGTCGTCGTCGTCGTCGTCGACGTCGCCGTCGTCGACGTCGTCGTCGTCGTCCCTCTTCAGGGTCGGCGGCACCAGCCGTACGGCCTTCGCAGTCGGAGCGGTCGCTCTGTCGGTATGTGACAACTTTTGGGCCTCCTCCTCCTCCTCCTCCTTGTCCTCCTCCTCCTCCTCCTTGTCCTCCTCTGGTACCGGCTCATTCTCATCAATATGGCATCGTGTCTCATGCTTTTTCGGCTGCCGCTGTGTCGTCGTTCCCGATGCCTCCGTCGCTGCTGCTTGCAATTCCAGCGCGCGTGGCGTCGATAGCCTTGGCTCTCTTGCCGGAGTCGTGGACGACTCCTCTCGTACGTTGGTCTCCTTCTTCGGCCTGTGGACGCCAGTTTCGGGCTCCGGGACTGTCAAGGAACGGCTCGGGCTGACAAACTGGCCCGAGGGAAGGGGCTTTGACAACGTCGGTGCGTCGGCCCCAGGACCTCTCACACCCTTCTGCAAGGCCGTTTTTCCTTCCCGAGCTGTTGTCGTGACTGTCCAGGAGCCATCAGCTGGAGAGAGAACTCAAAGAGAGACGACAAACTGGGCGCCTCGTTCCAAAAAAGAATTATCCGGGCAAAGCAGCGATGTGTATAAGCAAATCTGGAGGCATTCCCCTTAAGATTCAAGTGAGAATCCAATTGTAGAATTCTGCTATTCTCGCAGTCGCAGTCGCATTCGCAATGACAGTCGCAGTGGCAACGGCCTTAGGATCAAATGGAATCCTAAGGATTCCTAGGGATTCCTAAGGCATCCTTAGGCGTCCTTAGGAATCCATAAGATCCGTAGGAAACCTTTCGAATCCTTAGGAAGCCTGATTCCTAGGGATTCCTAAGGAGTCCTAAGGATCCCTAGGGAATCCTACGGATTCCGAAGGATTCGCCTGCCTCGGCATCAGCCTCAGCCTGCCTCAGCCTCAGCCTGCCTCAGCCTCAGCCTGCATCAGCCTCAGCCACAGCCTCAGCCTCAGCCGCAGCTTGCCTCAGCCTCAGCCACAGCCTCAGCCTCAGCCTCAGCCTGCCTCAGCTTCAGCCTCAGCCTCAGCCTGCCTCGGCTTGCCTAAGCCTCAGCCTCAGCCTGCCTCGGCCTCAGCCTCAGCCTCAGCCTGCCTCAGCCTCAGCGTCAGCCTCTCAGCCTCAGCCTGCATCAGCCTCAGCCTCAGCCTCAGCCTCAGCCTCAGCCTCAGCCTGCATCAGCCTCAGCCTCAGCCTTGCCTCAGCCTCAGCTGCAGCCTCAGCCTCAGCCTCAGCCTCAGCCTGCAGCCTCAGCCTCAGCCTCAGCCTCAGCCTCAGCCTGCCTCAGCCTCAGCCTCAGCCTCAGCCTGCCTCAGCCTCAGCCTCAGCCTGCTTCAGCCTCAGCCTCAGTCTGCCTTCAGCCTCGCCTCAGCCTCAGCCTGCCTCAGCCTCAGCCTGCATCAGCCTCAGCCTCAGCCTCAGCCTGCCTCAGCCTCAGCCTGCAGCCTCAGCCTCAGCCTGCCTCAGCCTCAGCCTCAGCCTGCAGCCTCAGCCAGTCTGCCTTCAGCCTCGGCCTCAGCCTCAGCCTGCCTCAGCCTCAGCCTGCAGCCTCAGCCTCAGCCTGCCTCAGCATCAGCCTGCCTCAGCCTCAGCCTCAGCCTGCCTCAGCCTCAGCCTCAGCCTCAGATCAGGCCTCAGCCTCAGCCTCGGCAGCCTCAGCATCAGCCTCAGCCTGCAGCTGCCCAGCCTCAGCCTGCCAGCTCAGCCTCAGCCTCAGCCTCAGCGCCTCAGCCTCAGCCAGCCTGCCTCAGCCTGCAGCCTCAGCCTGCCTCAGCCTCAGCCTGCCTCAGCCTCAGCCTGCCTCAGCCTCAGCCTCAGCCTCAGCCTGCCTCAGCCTCAGCCTCAGCCTCAGCCTCAGCCTGCCTCGGCCTCAGCCTGCCTCGGCCTCAGCCTGCCTCAGCTCGGGCATTCAAAATATGGCACAGGACTGGTGTTCTGGTAACACGAAGAACACGAAGTGGCCCACAGCTGGCTCCGGGCATTCAAAATGTGGCCTGGGAATGGTGTTCTGGGAACACGAAGAACACGAAGTGGTCCACAGTTGGCTCCGGGCATTCAAAATGTGGCCTGGGAATGGTGTTCTGGGAACACGAAGAACACGAAGTGGCCTACAGTTGGCTCCGGGCATTCAAAATGTGGCCTGGGAATTGTGTTCTGGGAATGGATTCCTAAGGATCCCGAAGAATTCCTAAGAATTCCTCCGGATTCCTGAGGCTGCACTTTTGTCCGGTTCCTTGTCAGGATCCCGCCCAGACCGCCCCTGGGGCGTCAAGATGCTTTCTTTTGATCCCACTAGAAACCTATCAGCAAAAGCTGTTAGGTAACAAACTCGATGATCCTCCGCCTCCTCCTCCTCCTCCTCCTCCTCCTCCTCCTGCTCCTCCTCCTCCTCTCCTAGGCGGCTCCTCGGCAAGGCCACGCCGCCGTCTTGCCCGCGGCAACGCGCGGCGGCCCGCGATCGAGAATGGCCCCCAGCAGCAGGAGAAGGCGCGACCGGTGAAGGCAGCTTGCCGCTGGCGTCCGCCGCTGGCCAAGGCTCAATGCAGTGTGCGCCCCCGCTGGAAGAGCGGTGGCGCCCCACGGCGAGCAAGAGCCCGCGGCGCGCACTGCGGAGGGTGCTCCTGGCGACCAGCCGCCAGGTGGCCTTGGACTTCGGCAGCTGGCCCGCCCCACCCTTCGACTACGACTGGTTCGAGCGGTGGTTGCAGGAGCCCGAGTGCGAGAAGCGGGAGGCGAAGATGGAGCCCGACACCATGCGCTACGGCGCTGGGATCAGGGCGTGCGAAAAGGGGTAGGCGAAGCTGGAACCCGATCTCGCCAAACAGAAGTATTCCACGACACTCAGCGAAACGTGCGAGAAGTGGAAGGCGAAGATAGAGCTCGACACCATCAGCTGCAGCGCTGGGGCCAGGTTGTGCGAGAAGGGGAAGGCAACGCTAGAGCCAGGTATCGCTAGTATGCAGTTTCACACGACGCTCAGCGAGAAGGGCGAAAAGTGGGAGGCGAAGATAGAGCCCGACGTCATCAGCTACAGCGCTGGGATCAGGGCGCGCGAGAGTGGATCAGCGAAGCTGGAGCCCGACGTCTCTAGCCACGGCGCTTGGAACAGAGCGTGCGAGAAGTGGGAAGCGAAGATGGAGCCATACACCATCAGCTACGTACAGATTTGGGACCAGGACGTGCGACAAGGGGCAGGCGAAGCTAAAGCCCGATTTCACTTGCCACAGCGCTGGGCATCAAAGCGGGCGGGCCTCCGACGAGAAGGGCGAGAAGGGCGAGCCAGGGCAGGGGCCGCCAGGAGCGAGGGCGACAAGTTCAGAAGGGACGAGCAAGGCAATGTGGGCCGCGCGGCGGGCCATCACCAACACGTGGCTGCGGGGTACGCCGAAGCCCGCTGCTGCTTTCGGCGCCGAACCTCCGAGCACCGCGTGCGAGAAGGTAAGACAGCCGAGGAAGGAGGCGGCGAAGGTGAAGCCAAACGACAACAGCCACAGTGCGGAAAGCGCTGAATCCCGCCATGAGAAGTGGTTGGCGAAGAGATTCGGGCGCGGAAGGACGAGTCCCCTCGTCGTCACGGCTAGACCAGAGATCAGGAACGGCGAGACGACGGGAGAGGCGAAGACAAAGCCCAACGTCACAAGCTGCAGCTACAGTGAAGAGGACTCCGTCGCCGAGGAGCTCCTCGCCAAGATGATCAACGAGGGCGGAATGAACAATGTGGGCGTGGACATGGCTGACGTGGCCCGCCAGATGGAGGAGGACGACATCGACATCACCATCGTGCACGACC